TAAATTTTATTGTGAAACATAGTAACGTTAGTTTTGACAATAAAAATTGAAAATTCTAAAATTCCCGAGATATTGATTTGTAATTATGTTTCAATTTTAAAAAATAAATAATAATTCCAATCAAACAATCAAGACAAATTGACACAATGATTTAAATGGAAAAGAAAAATCACAATTGGAGCGCCTCCAATTGTGATAAAAAAAAGTTATGGGCCAAAACTAGAAAACAATCCATTAAGAAGAGAAAAAGGAATTACACAAGTGACCCTCAATTACCTAGCGAATCAATGCCCGAATTGAACCGACCCCAATGGGCCTCTTCTGCTACCGTCTTCACCTCAGAATTGTTTTGTCTAACAATAAATCCACAATGCCGATGTTGAATCCACAAGGATGAGTTACTTCGGAATCTAGCAAGGGTTCAGACCCAAATTTCCCGGAATCCACCGAAGAACATCTCTCTCTCTTTTGTGAACATAATAGAAGAAACAACCCTTGATGTTTGACAATCTGTAGTTCATTGATCAATTGATCACTTTCTATACACCAATGAAACTCATAAATAGCCTCCAGTAGAAAACACTTTGTCTTTTCTTTCTCTCTAAGATTCTGGACGACTCAAACCCTAAAAATAAATAACGGCACAATTTATATAAAACAGAGCCGCGAAGACCACGTAATTACACACTTCACCACTCAAGCGATGTCAATAAAGGCAATGCAAAACATATAAGCTGACCGCTCGAGCGCAACTTTCACCGCTCGAGTGGTAAAACTTACTTCCCAGAAGTTTAGGCAGCCTATAAAAGTCCTAGATGATGCCATTCACCACTCGAGTGCACATTTGACTGCTTAAGCTGTCAAACCACTTTGGCTTCAGGAGCATTACCCCTAGACCCCCACGAGTTGACCGGGCAACTCGATCCCCGTACATGGTCAGTGAAGTGGCAAACATGAAAGCCTCAATATCACAAACTCCACTACATAGGCACAATTCGGGTTTAATTCGCATCTCAACACTTACATCCTCACTGAAACATAAGAATGAATAAAATTACAACTGAAAGGAGTTTTGTCAAACGAGATTGCCAATTACAAAAACCTAACAAAAATTTTACATTTTTATTTTTTTAGAATTTCGCGGCCAACATAAATTTCATTTGATAGATCTTGACGAGTGCATTCTAAAAATACTAATTTTCTTAAAAATCGATATCTAGATAAAAAGTTGTATTAAAGTCTTAAATATGAAATTAGTCACTAAAAATATTTTGATAATAGTGATGTGTGTTATCTTTCTTAAGATAAAATTTATGTACTTATCTTTAATGCTTAAACATTTTGTTACGAGGAAGTTTTGATCAAATTTCTCTTTTATTACGAAAGTGTTGTATGCTTATGTAGTAGTAACACATCAACAATTAGGGCAGGTGTTACTATATTATCGTTCTGTTTGTTTGGACGGAAAATATTTTCTAAGAAAAATTTATTTTTTAGAAATTTTTTTTGAAGAAAATATTTTTCTATGTTTCGTGGTAGTGGTGGTGAAACGAAGATGAAGGTGGATGGGAAGGCATGGTAGTGGGGGGGCGGCAGCAGTGATAACGACAGTGATTGTGACAGTGGCCATGGTGATAGTGTTGTGGTGATGGAGGTGAGAGTGGCGGTGGTATATTGATAACACTTTACTCCGAAAAACGTTTTCCACCTGTTAAAAGTGAAAAATAATTTGTCCATATAAACTTGTTTTATGTTGACTATAGAAAATATTTTCCGTTGATTTTTGTTTTTCATTATACTAAACACTTGAAAATGTAGATAATATTTTTCAAAAAAAAATTATCCGTCTAAACAAACGGATCGTTAATTACTGTTAGTAATTTTACATAATTCAATTCAAGTAAGTACCATTACCCCACCTGAGATTAAATTATTTAATTTGAGCCTCGCAAGTCACTAGCACACTGTCCACCTTGCCACCAGCATATTAGGAAAGGAGTTTGGTTTAGCATGTAATTTCTTTACTTTATTTCAGCTTAAAATTTACCACTTCACTAGAGATACACACTAAACTACTTAAAATTTTACAACCTATAACCGTGGTGATAGATCTTACATATTGTGTGGATTAGTATTATGCAAGTAATGGGTAGTGTTTTAAGCAATTTATTGTATATATTTAGGCCATTAAAAGCTCCCAAATGATTGAGATTAACCTATTCAGTCGGACCATATTTTTTTGACACTTTTCATATAACTTTTTTTTTTTTATATTATGTGTACATAAATCTCATCATAACATGATTAGGAATTTATATATATATATATATATATTATATTTTTACAAAGATAACGTTAATTAGTATATTAGTATCATTAAAATATAACTGAAAGAATTTACCACTGTTCCATCAGCTTGAACTCCTGATCTTTCTCTTACCAAACCCTAAATTAGACCATTAAGCCAAACCTCCCAAACATGGTTTTAAAAACCGCACCGGACAGGCCAGTTCAACTGGTTGAACCGTCGATCGGTCTGGATATACCTTTTGAACCGTTCGAAATCAAAAATGGACATATTTAGAGAAAACCAGTAAAACCGACGGTTGAACCACTGATTCGGATGACCCGATTATGATTTGCTGGGTTGAAGAATTTTTTAAATTGTTTTTTATTCTTTCTTTCTTTCTTTCATAACATATATATATATATATATATATTACATGGAAAATTCAATTTGAAACTCTCTTTCAAGGGTCTTCTCTTGTGAGGAATCCCATTAAGAGCTTGATGAAATTATTGTGAAAGTCTTCACCTATTTATAAGAAAACAAATTCTAGAAAAAAATTCTTTCAAAAAAACTTAAGAAACCTATGTGGGATTCAATTAAATTATTTTAATCAAATTTATTGGAGGGAGACTTGAAATTTTAATATCCCTTTAAAATTTTTACTCCTCTTTCAATCAAATTATTTAAACTAAAATCATATAGAGGAAAAGTTGAACATTTGTTTTGTTTTCAAAATTAAAATTAATAACATTTTAAAATATGCTTTTATATTTTTTAGTAAAAAATAAAAAAACATTAGGAGAAATATTTAAGATAATTTAAAATTTTCTTTTTTTTTTTAATTTTTAATTTTATAATTTTTATTTTTATTTAAAAATAATTTGTAATATATTTATGATGTCACGGTTCGATTTCGATTCAACAAAACAATTGAACCGGTGAGCCGCCACCCGATCTCTTTTTTGATTCGTTCAGCAGTCAGATTTTAGAACATTGCTCCCAAAGACCTTTTTCTTTAAATAGAATAAATCAATAGAATGTATTTATCATATATAAAATCTTATTTCGGCAGTAAGGATATGAGACAAATAGTTACAAACTAACAACGCAAACAATGATTTTTACATTAGAACCAAGGCAGCTAAATGACAGCTAACTTCTCATAATCAAACAAACCATGGAAGCCTACTGTTTATAATCAAACAAATTCTCCAGACAATGACCCACCACACCATGCCAGAAAAAACAACAATTTCATTCCCAGTTTATTCGAAAAAGATTTCAACTTCATGCATAAGCTAAAATTGTGCGGAGCCCCATTATTTTGGGCTTCTTAATTAGCTATATGTCTCTTTTAGTAAAAAATAAGGATATACAAATAAACAAATTCGTACAAAATTTTCAAATATAATGATATATGACTCAAATGTGCACATTTTCTTTAAAACAAAATATTTATAGAGATAATTTTATTTACAAGAATAATATAAGAATAGTCTTATCATATCATTTTTATCGAGTTTTTTTTGTATGAATTTTATTTTTGAAGAGATATTTTCTTTGCAAAAGTTGAATCATTAATGTTAGGTGTATAGAAATGAAACACAAGAAACGTGCACAAAAAATATTTCATTTTTTGTTTACTTTTCAGTGCAATGCATATTTTTACATTCTCTTATTTAGAGGTGGCAAATAGGCGAATTTGGGCGGGTCAAGACGGATTGAACATTTAAAACAATCAAATCCAAACCCACCCATTTAATAAGTAAGCTTACATGGGTTGGGTTGAGTTGCATGCGGGCTGAACAAATAAACCCAACCTATCATTTACTTCATTTCTCTCTCTCTCTCTTCTTTTCTCTTTTTTTTGTGGCTCATTCTTTTTAAAAATGATTATTTTTATTTTTCAAACTTTTTTATTTAAAAAATTCATTTTTTCTTAAAAAATATTTTTTTATTTTTTAGTTTTTACTTAAAAAAAATTATTTACAAAATTTTAGAATTGCTGATAGAAGTGAGGGCTTAAATGGGTACCTATGTCCAACCCATTAAACTTAATTTTAATTGGGTTGGCAATGAGCAACGAATTTAAGCCTATTTATTGATTCAGTAATGGTAGGTATCATGAAAAACCTTTCATGAAAATAATCATGAAAGCTTTGTGACCTTTGGATTACACTTTAGAATAAAGTCCCACACACTAATCAAGGTAATCCAAAGATCATAAATCTTTCATGATCATTTTCAAGAAAAAATTTTCATGATCCCTAACTTTTCCCTTATTGATTTGGGTGGATTAATATGAGTTTTAAATGAGTATAATTTGACAAATTCATGAGTTTGAGTTGAATTTATCACTTCTAATTTTATTTATGTGCACCTAGTTTTATTGAAATTTAGCTAACTAACAAGCCGGGTTGAGGCTGACTTGGTGCATTCTTGGCTTCTGGCCGCGGGCTAGCAAAGCTGTCACATGATTGTCCTTCCTCGCATTGACATTGAAATTTCATGAGGCATATCCTTTATTTTTACTAAGCAAAAGAATATCCCTCTGTATAACTTTCTTTATTAATTTATTGTTATCACCCAGAAGGACCTTGTTTTAAACGCCCTTTCATTTACAATACTTTCCTACCATGACCACCACAAATAAAATAAAAAAAAACCAAGTATATAATGAGCCCAACCACACAACAAGCTCAGCAAGCAAGGCCCATCTCTCTCTCTCTCAACAAAAATGGCAAGCAACAATCTTGCTGTGCTTAATGCTCTAGACACTGCCCGTACACAATGGTACCATGTTACTGCCATTGTCATAGCTGGCATGGGTTTTTTCACTGATGCTTATGATCTTTTCTGCATTGCCACTATCTCCAAGCTCTTGGGCCGCCTTTATTACTACGATCCTAGAAACGTTGGCAAGCCGGGAAAGCTCCCTGTAGGCATCAACAACTTTGTTATCGGAGTTGCCTTAGTTGGAACCCTCACTGGTCAGTTAGTATTCGGCTGGCTCGGTGACAAACTAGGCCGAAAGAAAGTTTATGGTGTCACTCTCATTCTCATGGTCATCTGTGCCATATGTTCTGGCCTATCTTTCGGTTCTAATCCAAAATCAGTCATGTTAACCCTTTGTTTCTTTAGGTTCTGGCTAGGGTTCGGCATTGGCGGTGATTATCCCTTGTCTGCCACCATCATGTCTGAATATGCCAACAAGCAAACCCGAGGGGCATTTATTGCTGCAGTTTTTGCCATGCAAGGTGTTGGGATTATTTTCGCCGGGCTGGTTTCCATGACTCTTTCCGCAGTCTTCCTCTGGAAGTTTGAAGGGCCAGCATTCCATATTGACCCAGTCACCTCCACTGAACCCGAGGCCGATTTCATGTGGCGGATCGTGTTGATGCTCGGAGCTCTCCCAGCGATCTTGACTTACTATTGGCGGATGAAGATGCCCGAAACAGGCCGGTACACTGCCCTCATTGAAGGAAATGCAAAACAAGCCGCAGCCGACATGGGTAAGGTTCTTGAAATCGAAATCCAGGACGAGCAGGACAAGGTGGCTCAGTTTAAGGCTAACAATGACTACTCATTATGGTCTAGAGAGTTCTTTGACCGACATGGGCGTCATTTAATAGGTACTGCGACCACATGGTTCTTGTTAGACATAGCTTTCTATAGCCAAAACCTAGCTCAGAAAGACATATTTCCAACCATGGGTCTCACAAACAAAGCTACCAATGTCAGTGCTCTTAGAGAAGTTTTCGAAACTTCAAAGGCCATGTTCATAATAGCCTTGTTTGGGACATTCCCTGGTTACTGGTTCACAGTGGTTTTCATTGAAAGCATTGGCCGATACTACATCCAACTAGTCGGCTTCTTCATGATGTCCGTCTTCATGCTTATTCTGGGTCTCAAATACGATTTCCTCAACACCACGGAACACAAATGGTACTTTGCGGTTCTCTATGGACTGACCTTTTTCTTTGCGAATTTTGGTCCCAACAGTACGACTTTCGTGCTTCCAGCAGAACTGTTCCCGACTCGCCTGAGATCCACGTGTCATGCCATAAGTGCAGCCTCAGGGAAGGCCGGTGCAATGGTCGGTGCATTCGGGGTGCAAAGTTATACATTGAGTGGTAACAGATCGAAGATTAAGGCAGCAATGATATTTTTGGCATTTACAAACATGCTTGGATTTTGTTGTACATTTTTGGTGACGGAGACGAAGGGGCGATCATTAGAGGAAATATCAGGTGAGGATGGAGGGCAGGGCGGGAATGAAACCCAGATGACAGGAAGATCATTCGCGACGGCTCGACAGGAAGATATGTGGGAGGGAAACAATTAATGACCCTTCTGTTTGCTTGGCTTATGAAGAAAAAATTATATCGACAAGCCAAGCACATGGGATTAATAGAAGAAACTAAACTAGTAATTAAGAAAAGGGGGAATAGTAATAAAATGGGCGAAAAGATACTGATTTTTTTGCCTGATAGGATTAAGGTTGGTGTTTTGTGTTGTGCTTTATGGTATATGCCTTCCTCCAAACAAATAAGAAGTGCTGATGTTGTGATCATCATTTGCACAATTCTGGTCAAGATGAGTGCGTTTTTTTTTTTTTTCTTTTTTTTGTTAAAGAATGATGAAAATTATATGATATATGTAATTAATGGATAAGTATTTACTAAGAAAAGAAAGTCTGTCTTCTTTTACCTCCTTTATTAATCCCAGTCATATGCCCTTTTTTTCCATTTTTTTCCCCCTGCAATGTTGAACAAATACTAAAACATTCATACAAACTGAAAGAGAACTTGATTTAATATGATTCGGCAATGTATCTTTTATATTCATGGTGAAAAGAAAAAGAATTTCACACGTAGTGTTCATGAATAGGCGCTCAAAATTAGTGTAATCACCAACTAATAAGAAGATAATCACACAAAATAAGATATATAATTTTCTCATTTTCCCTCTATAGGATCAGGTGTGGTGTTGGTTTGTGAATCCCCAAACGATTTTGGGGTCGGCTCGGGGTTAATCATCCTCGCCCCTATTCTGGGATCTTCCGAACCGAGGGGTTCGAGTGCGCCAGGCAGTTTGAACCCTCAAACTGGTTCCATGAGTGTAATGCAAAACAGAATCAGAGTCAAAATCTGGCATTCCATAGAAAATTCAATAATCACAAGAAATGTCAAAAATGGACTACATCACCAAATTTTGAGTCGCCACTTAATCTTTTGAGGAAAACTAAAAAATTCGTGACTTGTACCCAAAGGCCATGATCTGTCGTATCCAAAAGTGTCTTGGCTAGGGAACGTAGGAGGGGAAAGGTCATGAATTGAGCATCTCTGCTTACGCGATCAGAGATCGACATCTATTATTTCATGATATAGGAATTATTAACACAACATGATCATATAACCCAATCATTATTGCTATTTGTACTATATGGAGCAACAAGTATAGACCAAATCACCTATTTTGGAATGTTCTAATCTCTCGCTATATCTTTTTTAGAAAAAAGGTTGGAAAAAGCAGGAATCTCATGAAAAATCAAAATTTTCGCCGTGCGAAGAGATCAGAACCATTCCAACTTAGCCATTAAGACCTCCATACAAGGAGCAATCAGAGAGATATAGCAACTAAGCACATAGTCTCATGGTATAGCATGCTATACATTATAAGAAGTAATCACAAGTAAAATGCAAAGATGAGAGAGACTCATCTAGTACTCCTTCGCACCATGCTAAGAGTGTAAAGGGTTAGAAGGCAATGCATGATCTTAGATACCAAACTAAATGATATGCAATGAAAGGGGATAGAAATGGTAACTGAGTACTCCAACTAAGCGAAAACAACAAAAATAGGCCAAAATAGGAAGTGCATGATCCTAAATGCAATATCTAATGCAAATTTTGCACACAATGAATGCTAAGGGGGCTTTGGACACTATCAAGATGACATGGATATCCATGAAACATATAAAACATAATTTAATATAAAATGATGGTACAAGCCCGAATGTATATTCCTACACTAATCATGGGATCATGATGACAGTAGAATCATATTTAAGTGATAAAAAAGTGAAAGAACAATGAAAGGAGGTAAGAGGAAGAGAGACCTTCCAACACACGCGACAATATATTGAATGGAAGACAAGAAAATGATGAGACAAAAATAAAAGAAAGCTCTAATGAGGATAGGGAGGTTCTCTTCCTTTTACACATGAAAATGAGTATAAACTGCCCAAATCCATGAGAAACAGCGACGATAGGAGAGATCCGACCCATCTTCATGGAGGAAGCCATATCTTATCGAAGCTAGCAAGAAAACTATGAGAGAAAAAAAATCTAATGAGAGGAAGGAGATTCTCATCATCCTACTCATGAAAAGGAGCATAAACAACTGAATTCAATGTAAAATAGGTTTAGGAAAAGAAACTTTCTTTTTTCATAGTGGAAACCGTGCCTGGGTTTCTAACCCATAAAATCAAAGAAAAGAAATTCGGGCTTGGCCAAAGCCGCTATACAAGCCTCTACTAACTGCAGAAAAATGGTAGAGAGAGAGAGAGAGAGAGAACTAAGCTAGCGGCAATTCCAACCGATCAATCCCAATATGTCTCCAAAGTAAAAGGTAGAGATAGGCTTAAAATCAAAGTGAAAGTAGGGATTACCTCTATAATAGTAGAGATAGAGCCCAAACTAATCACAAACGCTAATCCAAGCACCCTCTAATCAATAGAAGTCTCCTAGCTTCTAATCATCCAAGCAAAAGTAGATAGAAAGTAGTTCAAAATTCTCACCAAAATTCTCTCTCATTGTATATTTGATTAAAAATGTCGGAGGGAATATTGGGGAATATTTAGAAAATTTGAAATTATGGCACTCTTTTTCTTGCAAAAGGATTGGTGATTTTATAGGCAATTAGGGCTTGGAATATGCCTCTAGATCCTATAGATCTAGATGGTATCTTCCAAGATCCTTTGGAGACCTCATGAGAAAGTTTATTGGCTAATGCCAAGACAAGATCCGCTAGATAATACTTGTTTGGCCGGTGAAGAGTGGCTCGGCGGATTTCCTCGAAAATTTGGCCGACAGAGCTGGAAAAGAAATGGATATGCATCCATGGATCAAAATTGTTTGGCACGTTGCTTAGAAAATGTTCGGTGGAGTAGCAAAAGATCCAGGCACGCATCCCCTGGCCAAAAAAATTCAGCATTTTTCAAAGAATATGTCCGGCCAAGCAAGAGTTATCCGGTTGGTTTTCTTGGAAGGTTTTTCCTAGTTTCCTATTCATTCTTGCTTTCTAAGCTCAATTCTTTGTAAAACGAATAAAACATTTTTGAAAAACATATTGCCTAGAATCGCCAAGATGAATGAAAATGTGCCAATTGTCTTAAAATCATTTTGAAAAATAGGTTTTACGATCTAGAAAACATTTTGGCCAAAACAGCTGTAGGGAATGTTTGCTTTCTTTCCGTCCCTTACTTGTTACTTGGAGCGACTTATTGTATCTTCATCAGGAGCTTTGGGTTGAGTGCCCAAGTCTTAGGATCGGTAAAAAAATGGGGTGTCTACAGTTGCCCATCTTTGACAGAGATGGAACCGTCATTTCATGACGTGAGTAAATTTCAAAGCCCAAAAACAACCCTTTTGACATGGCCATAAGACGCAGGCAAGACAAGGCATGCAAGAATGCAGTTGGTTGAATCCGAAAGCTATCTATGTATCCCTTTGGAATGAATCAAATCAGCGCAGTTTAGGGGCAGATGCAATGTAAGAACTTGAAACACAAAAGTTAGTCTTACACGCTTCGCGAGGTCGATGGTTTGAAAGTTGTTTTTGATGAAATGCAATGTCAGGCAAATGGAATGATGACAAAGGTATGAAGATTGAAAATATGGATGTGAAATGATAAAGTCATAACCATCAGATAGCAATCCTAAATGCATTTCATTCAAATAGGAGAAGCATGCAAGATATAAAGTTAGTAAAGTTGTAACCAGTGAGCCTAATCGCCTTGATGCGAGAAGAGTAAAGTTGTAGCCTCCCAAGCCCCTGATCACCTGATAGTGAAGAGGGTAAAGTCATAGCCTTCCAAACCTAGGTGCACTTCGTGTAAAAAGGGTAATAGTTGTAGCCTCCCAAGCCTAATCACCTGGTGATGAAAAGGGTAAAGTCATAGCCTTCCAAGCCTAGGGGTAATAGGTATAGATGCCCAAGCTTGATCACCTGTTGGTGAAAAGGGTAAAGTCGTAGCCTTCCAAGCTTGATCACCTGTTGGTGAAAAGGGTAAAGTCGTAGCCTTCCAAGCCTAATCACCTGCAGTGCAAAGGGTAAAGTCGTATCCTTCCAGCCTAATCACCTGGCGGTGAAAAGGGTAAAGTCGTAGCCTCCCAAAGGGTTTTGTAACCTACCAAAAAAAAGCCTAAACACATTTTATGTGAACAAGGTGAGTGCAATTGATAGATTGTAACCAAGTTTTTGTGAAAGGAAAATTGTAACCAAGTGATGAAATTATAGCCAGGTGATGTGATGTGATTATAGCCAAATGATGAATGTAACCAACTGATGAGATGTGCTTGTAGCCAAATGATATGAAAGGATTGTAGCCAAGTGATGTGACAGTGTGATAGTTGTAACCATGCATAATAGATGTAACAAATGGTGCAACTATGATAGAAGTTGTAGCAAAGTGCATTTCATGCGAAAATGGTGAGATATGACAAATAACAAGTGATAGTAATGTGATGTATGTACATCAGTGATATAACGTAAAAGTAATGATACACCTCATAATTAGGAAACGGTGTCCTTTGACAATGGTGGTCCTATTTCCGAGGCAAATTGCGCCAATGCATTGATCTAAATTTTGTTCTCTCTGAATTTTTCTAAGTTAACCCACACATTTTTCTCATTCTTTGCTCAATTTTGCTCAATTCTACTTAGTTCATTTATTTTCCCGTGCTTTTCCCACACGTGCCGAATAAAATGTTCGATCGAGATGAAGTTGTTTGACCATGGCAATCTAACGACACTGTTTCCAGATTCGCATCAAATTGTTTAAGGTTGTTTGCTCAGTCCGTATCTCTTTGTGATTTCTTTAACTTTTCAGTCCTAAAAGCTTGTCTCGTGTCTCCTTTCTTGGACTATTTCTCTCTCCCTTGGATTCTCTTTTCCTTCCTATGTCTATATCAGGTTGGAGGCCTTTTCACTACCGAGGCATCCTTTCTTTCCTTCCTTCCTGATTTGCTTTGGCTGGAAATTTCATATTTCTTCTTGTTTGGAACTGTTCTTCCTGTTCCCATGGGTTGGTTTTGTTAGATTTTTTTTCTCATCATGGTCAATTTGTCATTGATTTTCTTACTCACATCTTTATTCCTTCATATTTGCTCTTGATTTGCTCATGGCTGATTGTAACACGTCTGCGAGAGACCCCGCTACAATTCGGACTCGATTTGTGTCACAGTTCTTAATCTGAACCAAAGAGTCCAAATCTGCCAAATCGTTTTGAGAAAACAGAATTTTGAAAGAAGTGCCAAACATGGACTGCTTTGCCAGATACAGAGTCGCCACCTAAATATTTTATTTTGGGG